AATTAGCGGCCAAAAAAGTCTTGGAAATTTTTTCTTTACAGATTTTGTGCATTGAGTTCTCTTCTGAATAAAAATCCTACCTGATTTTTATCACTTAGTCGCCAAATGGATACTCAAGAATTCAGTTTTAATTTTGGGCCCTTGACTCTGAAATTTTAAGCCATATCCTGGATCACATTATGGGCTCCTGTCATACCATAAAGCAGAAGTGTTCATCTTTTCTGTACTTGCCAAATAAAGTGCTCTGCATTGCGATATAAGGTTAGCCCTTGATGTATGTACCCTAGAGTAACCTTTAGTCAGGAGCCCATCACTAGGAGCCTGCAACCCCCATACTAAGCCCATGTCATGGTATTTTACAGACCGGTCTATTTTTAGGCTTCTTTTCCCACGAGAAAGGTCAGTTCCGGTCTATATGAGCGCGAATCAGTAAGGAGAAAAATGGCGACTTCAGATGGACATGTCAACCTAATCTTCCGGTGAAATTATAAAGTCCGTGCTTGTGATTGGTCACTGAGGTTCCTACGGGGGTCTGAATTCGCGGTAAATTCAAACTAAAAATTGATCGGTCTGTGAATAGTCCCGGACAGGAATAATTGGGGTAGTTGTACACTCCTAGTGATGGGGGTAGCATTCAATAGAAAACGAACATATAATCAGGAGATAACCAGGAGAGATCGGTGCAGTCATCTTATAGATAAAGTCATCGAATCATCATAAATAATGAATAAATCAAATTTAAAGTTTTGAACGATTTGTATTGAAAATCTTTACAGTATGCTAATAAATTTCATTATGCTAATTACTTATGCAAATCAGTTATTCAAGTTAACGTCCGGTCAAATTGATAAGAAAAAATGAAGATTTGAAAGGATACATGTCCTATTAAAGAAGAAAAATTATTTCCAGCACTGCAGTACCTAATTTTACCTATGGCATAAATTACATGAAGCAGCAGGTGACATCAGATATTTTTATTATTCTGCTAAAATTGATTTGTCAATAAGGTGGTACCATTTTTCAGTCATACGTAATGTAAAGGGTAACTTATTGGTATCTACATGTAGTATTGTCACATGAAGAGCATTCTGTTTCTTATTCCTGTGATACTGAGCACCACTGAAAATTGTTTCTATAGTCCTTTGCGTTTAAAAATCCTTCAAATATCCATCTCCATGAAGTCTCTATTCATTTAAAACTTAGAGCTACGAAAAACAATAGTGTCCGCAAACTTATTATCTTTTTTCACCAGAGCAAATTTTACAGATTTTAGATTTTGCTCACTGTAGTTAAAAAGATGATCGAAAAAGGAAACAATAATAATTAATATAAAGGATTTCTCCATAATTAAGCTAGTTAACACAGAACAAGAAAGTTTCTTATTATAGATAAACTTCCTGGAAGAATGCTGAAAATTATTCTAACCTAAAATTACTATGTATAAAGCCATAATATACATCAGTATTGATTTCAGACATATCAAGAGCTTTTATCCAGCAAATGCTTATGTATATTCCTGTAACATCCCTAATAGAAAATCAAGAATCAAAAGGGAAATAGTACAATTACTGACTTTTTTTATTTCGGTATAAATCCTTATAAGATTAAATTTGGAAATACAGTTAACAATAAAGATTAGCGAAAANTCGGTATAAATCATTGTAAATAAGGAGATTAACAATGAATTTGTCTCGGCAACCTGTTAACCTTCTTGACTCACTGTAAAGACACAACAAGACCAAAAAAATACAAGAAACGATTAAGTTTTATTTGGTAAAATATTACAGCTGTTTATCTGAAAAACTTAGCGAAAAAGTGAAAAACATTCCATGTTTAACTTTAACCCTAACTGAGGTTACATTAAGTTTACTTATAGTTGCCAGAGGATCCGCATCATTCGATGTAAACATAAGAAAACATACTGTCGTCTTACAAGCTGTGCTTTGACGATCACGCTTAAATCGCTGCCAAAACAAAATATTAGCTTTTCCCAACTCTGCTGATTTCCTTCCGGCAAGACTAGCTTCAGTGATATCACTTTCCTTCAGTAAAACTGGAGCTGTAGACGTCTCCGCTTCACTTATCGCCATGTTGGAGTTAGGGATTCTATCCCCACCCGCCTCGTTTTCATGCTCTCGTACCGAGGCTTATCCGAGCGATTCGCCATTTATGAATTCGGTGAATATATAGATTGCTTCATGGAAAGTGCGCGCATACGGTATTTACGCACGAGTTGTTGACGTATCAGAAAACGAACCAGTGAATTTTCTGATACAAAAACAACGAGTGCGTAAATACCGTACAAAGCAGTTTCCATGCTGTAATTTGTTTATTTTATACTTGCTGAGATTTTCACCCTCAACTAGATTTTCACCCTTCATTCGGCAGAATAAATATCAAGTTATTTTTCTATTCCGTCAGATTGCAAGCACTTTGTCGCTTCTTCGAAAACCTAGTGTAAATATTTTTCGTACAGAATGTTTACCTGTTCATCAGTCAACGCTTCAGCTGCGTTTGATTTGTTCCCCTTGCCTTGCTTTTTTAAAGTCATTTGCTTCGAGCTTCCAGACATTTCCTTGGTAAAAACTCTTTGTTGTCGATAATGCTTACGGCATATTTGTCTTCTTTAAAACTTTTCTTGCCTCTTCCTTCTGTTTGAGGAATTCGCTAAGCAAGCTAACCTTAACGTCTCGCCGGGTTTTTGCTCGAGTCCTTTTGTTCTGCTGTTTCTAGATGTACTTTTTAATGGTTTATCTAAAGCGATAAACCTGTTCGAACTTTCCGCCATTGTCTGTAGTTTATAGCTAATTTGCAAGAAGGCTGGAGTAAACTTGTGGAAACTCTACAAACTTCTGTGAATGAAGATTAAAGAGGCGCCAACAACAACGTGAACGCGTTGCGAACTGACTGATTTATTTTGACAGCTGATTTCTGATTGGATGAAACGCTTTACCCACGTGTGAGAAAGTCGTTTCGCGATTGTGATTGGATGAAGAAATTTCCGTATGAGTTTTTCATGCGATCGATCCTATACGAAAATCTCAGTAAGTATGAAATAAAACGGACTAAAACATAAAAACACAGGCGCAATTGTTCGTTTGCATTAACGTATGTAGCCGTAATTTTAATAATGAGCTTACATGTACATCGATTGTGAATCAATTTACTCATCATCAGCAGTAAAACAAACAATCGAAACACTACGAAAAGTAAATTCACCCGGTGCGTTTGTTTTATCGTTGTTGACTTCATTCACAGTTGTCATCATAACCTAAAAATAAGTAGCTTTAGTATGGAGAAAAATAAATTTCTGTCGGTCCATCTGACCTGCTGGCGATCAACGTAACTAGTGCGTTTACGATTCTTAAGGACGTTTAAGCGAAAATTTACCAGTCGATGGATTTTTTCCCAGGTAGTGCGGCCTGGGTTTAAAATTCGGTTCTTTTTTTCTTTTTTTTCTCGTTCAGTCAAAAATCGTCGTCTGGTCTCTAAAGCGCATGCGTCACCTGTGCAGGGCTACAGCACATGGAATTTACAGAAGTTGTCGTCGTGAAAAGTTAGCACGAGTTGCATGACTTCTAGGGCGATGAAATCACATACAAACGAACACACCGTTCGCGGTAGACCAACACTAAAGGACGTTAAGCTTTTCGGAACGGGTCGGTCTGCAAGCATTCTCGTCCCCAGAGCCCCCGTTTCTTTTGGTCACGTGGTCGGAGAAACGGAGGGCTCTGGTAGCAGCCATTACCGGAATGTCCATAAATCACGGACATCCGGTAACGCATGCGTAATTTCGGCCTGCATATCTGCTCATGCTCAGAAACTAATCCTAAGGGAGGGGAGAGAGGAATAGTGTATTATTCAAATGTAAACAGATCGGAACGTTGACATGTGTTGTCACTTCGCTGAAGTTAGGTGATTTTGAGTTTTAAAAAAAGAGAGTGGAAAGCGGCCTTAAATGCCGTCGCCGCTTCAAACACGATTGCCAGCTTGTGTAATATTTTACCAACAGGTTTCGCGAAGCATTTTGTGGTGGACCTTCTATAGAAAAATTCAGGGATCGATAGGTGTGTTCTTGTTGTCAGTGTGTTGTTTCCTCTCTTCATATTCGATGAAAAGGAGAAGTTTATAGAGCGGGGTGCAGTTAAAGATTTCAAGCAAAGTAATCAGGATACGACATGTATTTCGTCTATCAATGACACGGTAAAATTTGTTTATGGACACATGGAAGCGTTTGTGGAAATCAGCTGTGGAAATTGCATCACTGAACAGAGGATTTAAATATAAGCCGTGCTGATAGATGAAAGGAAAATTTTTTAATGGTAAGAACTATTTACTTCGTGGTTATTTACATAGGTTTGTAAGCTGCAACAGAATAAAATCTGTTGAACTCAGGAAAGTTTTGTTGTATTGGAGTTTTGCTCATGTTTCCTAGCAAGGAATGTAATAAAGGTGCTCACTTTCATATGATCTTTCGTGTCCTCATTTTTTCAAGTAACCCTATTCTGTTCTATTTTTTTTTTTTTTT